TACAGTGAGCCCTGGGGTTCAGGGCGGCAGAAGAACACTGCAGGCTATTTCTTCTCATTCTCATAATCTCAGCAAAAAATAACAGAAATTGTCATCTTAACCAGAAGGAAGACTTCAGGCTTCTGGTTCCCCATGGTGTTTCAGTACTTTCAAAATTACATTCCATGGGACGGGGATGACCAAAGAAGGCAGTATGTAAATCCCCCAGAAGGGAACCAATTACCAGAAACTTGTTCCTTAAAACTTACAGTTGTATCTATTTTTCTAACTATTTAAGAAGTGACATCTGTGGATATTAAGGAGCTATCAGCAGGAAGGCAGAATGGTATTGGAGATGTGTGCTGAAGTATTTTCGACACAATGACACACTGTCCAGGACTGCCTCTGCAACACTCCAGGAAACATATACACAAAAATTTTAGACAACTGTGCGCACAGAGGGCAGAAAAAAAATAAAACAAGAGCAGAGGAGAGCAGGTAACTACTGAAGCTCATGACAGTGCTGAGGGTTCATTTTATCATTCTCTCCACTTCCACAGATGTCTGAAAATTCTAATTAAGAAAAAGGAAAGATTAAGAGAAAAAAAGAAAACAAATCTGTATCTTCTAGAATCAAAACCATGAAGTCTCTTGAAAGTGCCTGCAGCAGGAGTGCACGGCGGCATCGGTGCAGTGAGGAGCCTCCCTGCACAGGAGGCCTGTGACTCCTGCACCGTGAAGGGGTCTGCCTCACACTGACATCTGTAAAGTGTTATTCTTGGCATAAGCAATTCATTTTCTTATTATGGTTATGAGATGCTGTTTAAAAAACAAAATAAAGCGGCTCGGCGCCTGTGGCTCAAGCGGCTAAGGCACCAGCCACATACACCTAAGGTGGCAGGTTCGAATCCCCAGCCTGGGCGCGCCAAATAACAATGATGGCTGCAACCAAAAAATGGCCGGGCGTTGTGGCGGGCGCCTGTAGTCCCAGCTACTTGGGAGGCGGAGGCAAGAGACTCACTTGAGCCCAGGAGTTGGAGGTTGCTGTGAGCTGTGATGCCATGGCACTCTACCCAGGCGGGTAGCTTGAGGCTCTGTCTCAAAAATAAATAAATAAATAAATATGCCTTGGAACTAAAACATCAGACATGTTATGAAAAGTGTCTCTTTTGCCAATGGCCAAAAGTGACACAGATAAGTCTTTAAACTCCCAGGGCTGGGAGGGAAACAGGGGTTGACTGCAAATGGGTACAGGGGTCTTAGCAGAATGGTGAACAAGCTCTAAAACTGTTACTGGGAATGCTGCACAACTCAGTAAAAATCTACTTCACTTTTATACTCTACATGGGTGAGTTTTATAGAATGTGACTTACACTCCAATAAAGTTAGCTTTAAAAAATGAACAGAAGGCCAGGCACAGTGGCTCACACCTGTAATCCTAGCACTCTAGGCAGCGAAGGCAGGTAGATCACTTGAGTTGAGCTCAGAAGTTCAAGACCATCCTGAGCAAGAGTGAGAGACACCATATCTAAAAATAGATGGGCATTGTGGCAGGTGCCTATAGTCCCAGCTACTCAGGAGGAGGCTGAGGCAAGAGAATCAATTGAGCGCAAGAGTTTGAGGTTGCTGTGAGCTGTGACAGCACGGCACTCTGCTAAGGGTGTTAAAATGAGACTGTCTTAAAAAAACAAACAAACAAACAAACAAAAAACAGAACATGGACCCTGATGTATACAGTTTAGTGAAGAAAACCTATGTATACAAACTCAAACAGTTACGACAATTAAGTCCACTCTTTATAATATACTATTCTTATACTAAACCAGAAGATTATATCCTACAATAAGATTACTTTTTGTGCTCAATAACTGGCAAGGGTTAAAAGCAGTTACTAGCTCAATACATTTGTATTGAGGCAGAAAGCTGTATAATAAAGGTTAACTACTATTTCTAGGGCATAAATACAAACCTACTCCTGAATTATTCAGATATTTGGGCATTTCTATTGCAACTCTTCTCCTACTCACATTGCATCCAACTTTGGTGGAAAAGCTGAACCTGAAAAAGCCAGGTTCCCCAAACTGACTGAACACATACTCACTTGCCAATCACGGTGACATTGGACCACTGCCATCAATATGTAGTTCCTGGAAAACCACAAGGTACGCACCTGTCCGCACCCTTAGGTGTGCTGTGAACACTCACAGTGGCAGGAAAAAGACAAACAACTTCAATGTCCCCCCAAATCAAATGGCTGCAGAAATGGTGAACAAAGGACACCACATGGCAGGTAGAAAGGCTGATGAGTGGGGACACAAAGACGAAGACACACGGAGTGGGAAAAGGTGAAATATGTGAGTAGTGATCATAGCCATGTATCAAAGTGTGGGCTCTGACAAGACCTCTGTTTTCTAGGAGGAAGTTTATGACTGCAGTGAACTTTCTAAGGATGTAGGTACTATGAGACCAGGTCTCCCAAATGCCTCCAGCACTCACAGCCCCTCAGCCTGCAAACACCGGCAGCGCACCGCACCTGTGAGTGCTGTCAGAAGAGTCTAGCCTGCAACCCAGGGTCCTAAGAGCAGGACTAAGGAGGAGACAGGTGTGTGGTGCTGTGTGGCAACAGGAGGCCAAGAGAACATGAGCAGGTATGGGTAGGGCCACTTCAAACTATTTCTCCACTGAAACAAAATGCTGAATTCTACCTCAAGCATCTTATTCTTTACTACACAGGTCTCATCTTAATTCTTTTTTTTTTTTTTTTTTAGATAGAGCGTCACTCTGTTCCCCTGGGTAAAGTGCCATGGTGTCACAGCTCACAGCAACTTCAAACTCCTAGGCTCAAGAGATCCACTTGCATTGACCTCCTAGAGTGCTAGGATTACAGGCATGAGCCACTGCATTCAGCCCTCATCTTAATTCTTACCAAAGCAATTAATACAAAACAAAAATATCAAAGAATCCAAAATCTAGTTCTATCCCCTGAAATAGGTTTTTAAAGATGTTTGAATATTGGCTCGGCGCCTGTGGCTCAAGCGGCTAAGGCGCCAGCCACATACACCTGAGCTGGCGGGTTTGCATCCAGCCTGGGCCCGCCAAACAACAATGATGGCTGCAACCAAAAAATAGCCAGGCATTGTGGCGGGTGCCTATAGTCCCAGCTACTTGGGAGGCGGAGGCAGGAGAATTGCTTGAGCCCAGGAGTTGAAGGTTGCTGAGCTGTAATGCCACGGGACTCTACCCAGGACAACAGTTTGAGGCTCTGTCTCCAAAAAAAAAAAAAGATATTTGAATATCATGCTGGACAATGAATTAACGATGGGGAGAGTAAGAACTTGTTAAACCAAAAAAACCCCTCAAATATTCCTACATTCAAAGGATAGCTTAACATTTCTTTGTATAATTTTCTTATTACACTATCAAAATCTTTTATTTAGATTTTAGTAACTTCAAAATATTATAAAATTTAGAACAATCAATGTAAAATAGAATAAAAAACTCTATACTATAAAGTAATAAAATTATGAAATATAATAATTTAGAAGATATCTTTTATTTTTAAAATTCTACCTTATTAAAAGTAGATCGGGGGCGGCGCCTGTGGCTTAAGGAGTAGGGCGCTGGCCCCATATACCAGAGGTGGCGGGTTCAAACCCGGACCTGGCCAAAAACTGCAAAAAGAAAAAAAAAAATAGTAGATCAACAAGTCCTTTAATCTCTGTATGGACTGCTTATAACTGGGAAAATACAGGTGGTTTACTATAAATTTCATAAGGTTACTTATAAATTTTACTTTAAAAAGTTTTCACTTTTAGGATAGGGCATGGTAGCTCACACCTACAATCCCAGCACTCTGGGAGGCCTAAGTGGGTAGATTGCTTGAGCTCAGGAGTTCAAGACCCCATCTCTAAAATAGCCAGCATTGTGGTGGGTGCCTGTAGTCCCAGCTACTTGGGAGGCTGAGGCAAGAGAATCACTTGAGCCCAAGAGTTTGAGGTTGCTGTGAGCTATGACACAACAGCACTCTATACAGGTCAACAACGTGAGACTCTGTCTCAAATAAATAAATAAATAAATAGTTTTCACTTTTTAAATTTTAAAAGATATATAATATTTTGCTCCTTTTCCACTCCCACTACTTTACTTGAATAACTAACTCCCCCCCCCAAAAAAAAACAAAACCCTTAAAAAACAAAAAGCTAGGTAAGAGAACTTGAAGACTATCAAACTGGTTCTGGAGTAGCTCTGAATGCACTTTACACACACACATGCAAATGATGAAGGCAGGACTAAAAAGCCAATGGATTTCTATTTCCTTTTTCTTTTATTAATTAATCACAGCTAAAATATGAAACAAATTTTCTTTATTTTTTTAAAGGAAGGTGTCACCCAGGCTGGAGTACAGTGGTGCAATTATAGCTCAAAGCACCCTCAAACTCCTGGGTTCAAGTGACCCTCTGCTCAGCCTCCTGAGCAGTGGGGAATACTTTCTGACACCTGGCTAATTTTTCTGTTTTTGGTATACACAGGGTCTTGCCATATTGCCCAGGTTGACCTCAAACTTGTGGTCTGAAAGGATCCTCCCACCTTGACCTCCCTAAGTGTTAGAATTTTAGGTGTGAGCCACTGCACTTGGCCTGAAATAAACTTTTCAGTAAAAGCGTCCTATTAAACTTGTGTGCTTTAGGGAACACAGGTTATCAAAATGTAAAGCAGATCATATACATGGGACCTAGAGTTAGCGATCTCCTAAACACCATGGTGAGCATCTGACAACAAACTAACATGTGCGCACAGCACTATCGGTCACTGCACACTCACACACACACTCACAGCCAGGAAAAGACACCACTGCACTCAGAGGCTGTGGGAAGGAGAGAGCCCCACCACTGTTTTGACATGTTAAGAAACACCTGTATTTCACATTTCTTCTTTTTACAATAAACATTTGTCTTAACGAAATTATCAGTGAGCTTCAGCTATTATTAAACAATCTGTGATTCATCTGAAAACTGAATTACCTGACTCAAAGTTGGGAGGGAACTTGTCTGGGAAGTGGTCTGAGATATAGGACCATTCATCTGTGAAATTGAAAACAAAGACACCATCACTACAATGTCAAGAAAACAGTTTCAAACCACAGTAAATTAAGCAAAACCAAACCCACTGAGAAATGTAATTTTTATATGTCAAATTCATGAATTCATAAGATATTCAGGATGATGTAGGAGCCTTAAAATTTTAGATTTTTGAAATTCTGACTAAATATAAGTGAAATTCCTTGTACTTTTAAAGGGAAAAATGAACTCTTCCCAAAGCTATTTTGATACTTTGTTTCATTCAGCATCATATGCAATTTCTTTTTGCTATTTTGAAACTTTAAATATTACTGCTCAACATAAAATTTTTAAATGAACAAAGGTAGTCAAAATGAAACATTTATATTAAAATTCTAATTAATTCTTGAAATATATCCTCCTAGGATGGCTGAAATGTTATTAAAGTATTTATAAACCACCTCATTTTCTTGATTGAAAATACAAAGTATTCAGTATCTACAACAACTCACTTTAGTTTTTGTTCTCACCTAAGACTTCTAGTTTCCTCTACTGAGCTACCCACACATTTTTTCAGACTGACAGGGTTTTAGTACACCACCCCAAAAGATGGCACCTTGACATTTAAAGAAAGAGCAGAACAAGGCCACAGAAACAGACAGAATTCTCCTCACCCCACCCCTGATGCATGCATGAAACCTGGCCAGCCCCCTGAAGACAAGCTTCAGACCCTCCCTCCAGAACAGTCCTGCTCTGCACACAGGGCCACCAGGAAGGGTCTCTCTAAGTTCTCCCCAGTCCATTGCAGGATGATCACAACCCTTTTGTCCAATCATGCTTCTCTGCAACTATGTACTTCTTTATCAGACTTACAAAAAACAGTGTCCCTGTTTGTTTGGGTCTTCATTTATAAAGGCTTTCAGACCACAGAAACTTAATGCTAAATAAATGTGCCTGCTTTTCTTCTCCTGTTCATCTGTCTTTTGTTATAGGTGTCTTGGCCACGAACCTCAGTGTGGTGAGAAGTCTTTTCTTTTGGGCACAACTATGACATCTATAAGAACACCCCAGTGTAAAGTCTGCTATCACTGCCTGACTCCCCGACACCCACTGCAGAGCCCTTCATCAAGACAGGAGATAAATGTCCCCCGCCTCCCCAGAGCACCCACCAGATGAGAGCTGTCCTTGCCCTCCTGGACTCTCTGTGCCTGCGGTTCAGCCACAACTTTAGCGTCCTGGTCAGAAGTCATGGGCTCCACTGGAGGAGTTTAGCGCTAACCTCAGATGCTGTCAAAGAGCAAAAACAGGACACAGGTCACCTGAAAGGCACTGTGTGGTAGATCCTTAAACAAAGTTACTGAGCAGTCTTAAAATCTTCATGTTTTCCAGGATGTATATTCCTCTGGACTTTAAGTAGTGTAAAGTAACATTATTTAATAAGGAATTCTTTTTCTCACACCCATTTGGTAACAATGGCCACAGTGAAAACTTGGAAATCATGTGCTAACATGGACAAACCCACTCATGCCCAGGAATTCATGTCTTCTTTAAAACAGAACATTAAGATGTTAATATCTGAGCTATGTAAGGGACTTGCACAGCTCAACAGCAAAACAAAACAAAAAAAACCTTGATTAAAAAGTGGTGAAAGGACATGAATAGACAGTTTTCTAAAGATATAAAAGTGGCCAACAGATACATGAAAAGGTGTCACTAATCACCAGAGAAACTGGAATCAGAATGACTATTCTCAGAAGACAGGCAGGACGTCCTGAGGGTGGAGAACAGAGCCCTTGGGTTCTGTGGTTGTATGTAAACTGGTGTAGGCGCTAGGAGAACAGCACAGCACAGCACAGCACATCTACTTTCAAATATTAAAAAACAGAACCACCATGTGAGCCTGCACCTCTCCTTCTGAGTGCATATCCAAAGCAAGTGAAATTGCCACCATGGGAGAACTCCTGCACTCCACTCACAGCTCGCTGCACTACTCACGATAACCAAGATACGGAAACTACCCAAGTGTCTGTCAGGAACCAAATAATAAAGAAGTCTGATATACACACACACAAATGGAATAGGCTTCAGCCTTAGAAAAGGAGGAGGTCCTGACATACGCCACCGCAAGGACGAACCTGCAGGACGCCTCCACGTGGAATGAGCTGGGCACAGGGGCAAGTCCTGCCTTGTGTCTCTCATGTGCATGATCCAGTCATAATGAGGCAAATACGCAGAAACCGAGAATCAAAGGTGGTTACCACAAGGTGGGCAGGGAGAAGAGGGGAGAGGGCTACATGGAAAAGAGCTGCAGGTAGCTGGGCGAATAACTGTAAAGGTGGAGCGTACACCATGAGCACTAAGCTACAATATCATACTGTACGTGGAGATCCCTAAGTGAGTAGATTTTTTTTTTTTTTTGAGACAGAGCCTCAAGCTGTCCCCCTGGGTAGAGTGCCGTGGCATTACAGCTCACAGTAACCTCCAACTCCTGGGCTCAAGCGAGTCTCCTGCCTCCGCCTCCCAAGTAGCTGGGACCACAGGCGCCCGCCACAACGCCCGGCCATTTTTTGGTTGCAGCCGTCATTGTTGTTTGGCAGGTCCGGGCTGGGGATTCGAACCCGCCACCTTAGGTGTACGTGGCTGGCGCCTTAGCCAGTTGAGCCACAGGCGCCGAGCCAAGTGAGTAGATTTTAAGGTACTCTTACCATATACAAAAGAAGGGTAATCATGTGATTTGATGGATTTATTAACTGGCTTGACTACAGTAACTATCACCAAGGCATCAAAATATCAAGTTGTACACCTTAAATATATATAATAAAAACAAAAACGGGCTAGGTGCCATGGCTCATGCCTGTAATCCCAGCACTTTGGAAGCTGAGGCAGAAGGATCACTTGGGGCCCAGTAGTTCAGGACCAGCCTGAACAGCACCATGCTCCGTCTCCACACACACACAATAATCAGCCAGGCGTGGGGAGTGCCTATGGTCCCAGCTAGTTAGAAGGCTGTTGTAGGAAGATCACTGGAATCCCCTCAAATTTGAGGCTGCTGTGAACTGCAATGAGGCCACACTTCAGCCTGAGTGAGATGAGACCCTGTCTCATGAATAAACAAATAAAGTAATGAAACTCCAAAAATTAAAACAAACAAAAAAATAAAGAAAATTTAAAAGTTAATAGAATTCTAGAGCAAATACAGTTTTGGATGAATCCCAAATTTATATATAGTAAGTCCTCACTTAAAAGGTTTTGGAAAAGGGGACTTCACTTGAAAAGATACATAAGGAAACCAATTTTACCACAGGCTAGTTGTTAAGTGACTGAGGTTCCTACAGCAAACTGCTGGTCAAAAAAACACCAAATTTCTAAATAAAGGTCCAAACACTTCTAATATGTAACAGAGAAATAATTTTGAATTAAATATACATGGTATTGGGTGGTGCCCATAGCTCAGTGGGTAGGGCACCAGCCACATACACAGGAGGTGGCAGGTTTGAACCTGGCCCAGGCCTGCCAAACGACGACAACAACACCAAAACAGCCTGGCGTTGTGGCAGGTGCCTGCAGTCCCAGCTACTTGGGAGGCTGAGGCAAGAGAATTGCTGAAGCCCAAGAGTTTGAGGTTGCTGTTAGCTGTGACACCATGGCACTCTACTAAGGGTGACATAGTGAGACTCTGTCTCAAGAAAAGAAAAGAAAAGAACACCAGACATGGTATTTAAGAAAGATTAAGAAGGACAAACAGGGTAATGACCCAGCTCTCAGTGAATCAGCAGATAGACAGGCGGATGGGCATGTGGGTGCAGCGGCAGTTGCCGGGAGCCCCTGTCCACACCAAGCTCAGACTAACACTGGCAGGCAGGGCTTACTGCACACTTTCCGGCCATGTCATCTCCTGTCCTGTGTTTGTACTATTGTAGCCTTTACAGATTTTTACAATAATTCACATGTAAATATGTTCGTTCCTTCACTCCTTCGCTCACTTCCCAACCTGCACATTCCAGCTCTGGATGGCAATGGTTGGAGCTGTCCTGGCAGCTCTGAGCACCAGGCAGAACCACCCTGGACAGGCCACTCCCTGCTGCAGGGCACTCCCACACTCACTCAGACTGCAATGTGGGGGAAATCTCTACCCAGAGGAAATCCATGCAGCAAGGTTTAGGTGTAAACTCCACACAGACAGTGGTCCTAGCCAGGAACCAGATTTCTTATTAGTTATATAATAACAAAATCATGTTATTTGAGGACCTGCTGTACATAGTTTTTGACTGTTCACATTAATTTCAATTTTTTTTCAAGGACAACAGCTGTCAAGACAAATAAACAATAACTAATTAAAAAGGAATCCCCTCACTGTCCTGAATCATAAGACTGTGCCCAGTCTGAGTACGAAGTATTGTGCTCTAAGGGAGTACTTATTATACTAAGTACTTACTGTACTAAGACTCTAAGGGAGTCTCTGGAAGGCGTTTGTCCAACTCAACGGCTGGACACAAACTCCACGTGTCTCATTTGATTTTCCCAAACGACTTAAGAAGTAACTGGGGTCAGAAGAGAGAACTTTCAAAATTCTATGTCACAAGGATTCCTAGACATCCACATCTGGCACCAAGGCCTTCCAAGCTCTTTTCACTGCAAGGTACATGGCTTCACAAACAAGAAAAAGAATTTGATTTAACTCAGGTATCTTTTCTGGCATTTCTGAAACACACAGTACCAGACTGCCAGAAAAAAAATTAAAAAGCACAACTATTTTTGTCTTACTAGGTAATTATACAGGTTTTCCATTTCTGCAATGGAGCTCCCTATTGTCAATAACCTGCATGTGATAAATTCTCAAAACTCTTGTTAATGAAATAATCTGATCAAAGGCAGTCTCATGAAATTGTCAAAAGTGTCACCAATCACAAAAGCACACAAAAAACTAAATGCTATAAACATATTTAGAGATGTAAACTAGCAGAGAACAACCGCTTGAAATAAATTCAGTAAGTTACACAGTGTTATACTGTTTTCCAAACAGGATAAATGACAAATATGTTAGATTTTAATAGGCAGATACTTTTATGAGCATGAATCTTGTTTTTGTGTGTGGTTCCAATGTCCTCTGTTAAACTAGGCAAGTGAGTTCATTTAAGGAAACACATTGAGTATTAGTAAAACGCTATTGGAACACAACACCCCACATTTGGGCTGCTGTATCTTGTTTTTAAACAAAAAGTGTATCATGAAGAACAAATATTTTTAGTTGACAAATTATAGTTCAGAAATACAGATTTAGGGAACTCCTGCTCTGAGACTCTGGGTCACTGGCTCTCAGTCCTCAGATGCAGTGAGGAGTCACTGGGGGGAGTTATAGCTCTGTAGCTCAGACACATGTACTCTCCTGAAGCTAAGTAGAGGATTCTAAAACACCTGAGCAAAGAGTGACCTCCAACCCCACCCCTCCCTTACCCAATGCCCAAGCAATGCAGGGGGAGTTCCATAGGGTTAGGAATCATCACAGCCTGGAACTAAAGATGTAGATTAGCAACCAGACTGACAAGTCTTACAAGGTTTTACTGCGCGCAGTTTTACCAGTATTAATTTATAGATTTTTAAGACTCTCAAAGAGCCAGGCACAGTGGCTGACACCTGTAATCCTACCACTTGGGAGATGGAGGAAGATAGATTGCCTGAGCTCACAGGTTTAAGACCAGCCTGAGCCAGATTGAGACCTTGTGGTAGGTGCCTATAGTCCCAACTACTTGGGAGTCTGAGGCAAGAGGATCCCTTGAGTTTGAGGTTGCTGTGAGCTGTGATGCCACAGCACTCTACCAGGAGCAACCAAGTGAGACTCTGTCTCCAAAAAAAAGATTCTCAAACAAAAAATATTTGTTCTTCAGGATACACTTTGCTTAAAAACAAGATATAACAGCCCAAAGGGAAAACCCAGCTGGAAGAGGCCCTTAGTGTACATACCACTATGCTTTCCCAGATCATGGGAAATCACATACGCTTGATGGAAACACCAACACCACAATACATGAAGCGGTTCTGCAAAGCCAACACACACAAAAAAACGGGCTCATGCTCTTAAATTTCATAATAAATTTATAGCAAACACAAGGGACAAGGATTTTATGAAGTGGTAAATTTCAAGACAAACAATCTGGCTTTTTCAACACGAAAGGAGATTTAAGACATTTTACTGGCCAAATTATGGCTTTATTGGGTAAATGACCCAAACCAATTATTTAAAAAAAAAAAAAAGAGCAGAGAAAACACTGATAGGACATATGATGGTACTAAAGAATTATTTTATTTTCTTAGATGTGATAATGACATCATGGTTATGGTTAACAAAAAAAGAGATCTCACCTTTTAGAGATTCACACTAAAAGATTTATGTACAATTTTGAAATATTTACAGGGAAGAATAACACCATGTATGGGATATTTCTCAGAATAGTATGTGGGGCAGAGACGTGGAGGTTCACCACTGTTCACCCAGGGGTATAGGGGTTCACTGTACTAATCTGCCTACTTCTCGTATGCGAAATTTTCTACAACGGAAGGTTAAACAACTAGCCATAGCACTGTTGTCGCATAACATAGCGATTCTAACTGGACCATGCTGCATCCCATCTGTCAAAAAAAGTAATCGAGGCTGGCCCAGTGGCTCAAACTTGTAATCCTATCTGAGGATTGCTTGAGGTCAGGTGTTCAAGACTAGCCTGAGCTGGAATAGACCATGTCTCTTGTTCAGGCTGAACTCTTGAGGTCAGGCAATCCTCCCACCTCGGCCTCCCAGATAACAGGTCTGAACCACTGCACCCAGCTCAGTTTGGCCATTCCTCAAGACATTAAACATAGTCACCATACGACCTTGTGATTTGACTCATGGGGATACACTGAAGAGAAGTGAAAACATGTTCCCATAAAAAGCTATGTTTGAATACTCATTCCAGCATTATTCCTAAGAGCCAACAAGTAGAAATAGCCTACACAGCAAATTGTCAGAGGTCAAGCACCTCCCTTTACACGTGCCTTCAGCAGTGCTTCAAATATCAAAAAGGACAGGTCGCAATTTGAGAACTGGATAATTTCTAAAACAATAGAAAGATATTCTCCTAATGGGCATGAAATTATTTCCTTGGTATGAAAGAATGCTGTAGAAGCATGGGTGATCTGTCTCTGTTATCAGAAACCTACAGGGGAAAAGGAGTATCTGGACCCCTATTATACAATGATTAATCTCAATGTTCTACAGGCTTCTAAATCTACCTCAACTCTGTCAGTTCAGAGATAAGTGAGTCAAGGTCACAGAGCTAACAAGTTCAGTGAGGCTGAGTTGTAGACACAGGTAATTTTGCTATTCAACTGTATGTGGCTGGAGGACATTTAAAGTACAGCAGTCAATTCACACACTAGTCCACACCAATGGGTGTCTACTGCACAGACCCTGGGCGAAGTCCCCTACAGTCCCCTCGGCTGATCTATCTCCCTTCTCTAGTGATGCTCAACGAGTCAATGTACAGACCATGACCTTAGTAGGTAAAGACAGACATGGTGCTTAAATACAGGCTAAATACATTTTTCTACAACAAAAACAGTAAATTGATTTAATGCCAGAATATATAAACTACCAAGTGGGAGATGACAGACTGAACCTCACCAGGGGATTCTCAAGCACACTGATAATTCTGCATGATGAGTGGACCCTAGAATGTACATTTCACCCATGATCCCACTATAGAGAAGCCACATACAAAACCTCTCTCCTGAATCTAGGAACATAAATCTGAATTCAAGAACTCTCCATGGGCTCGGCCCCTGTGGCTCAAGTGGCTAAGGTGCCAGCCACGTAACACCCAAGGTGGCGGGTTCGAATCCAGCCCAGGCCCGCCAAACAACAATGACGGCTGCAACCAAAAAATAGCCGGGTGTTGTGGCGGGCGCCTGTGGTCCCAGCTACTCGGGAGGCAGAGGCAGAAGACTCGCTTGAGCCCAGGAGTTGGAGGTTGCAGTGAGCCGAGATGCCACGGTACTCTACCCTGGGGGACAGCTTGAGGCTCCTGTCTCAAAAAAATAAATAAATAAATAAAGAACTCTCCATGGTCCACTCCCCCTGTCTGGAAGTCCTCCCCTTCTGCTCACTCCCTGTCCAGGCACCTTCTCCTGTAGACCACACTGGTGGTACTCAGTCCACTGCTCACTTCTCAGGGTGTCCCTGAGTCCTCTCCCGTAGACCACACTGATGGTGCTCAGTCCACTGCTCACTTGTCAGGGTGTCCCTGCGTCCTCTCCCGTAGACCACACTGGTGGTGCTCAGTCCACTGCTCACTTGTCAGGGTGTCCCTGCATCCTCCCCCGCAGACCACACTGGTGGTACTCAGTCCACTATGCACTTTTCAGGGTGGCCCTTCTTACCTGCACACATGGCAATGCCCAGCACACCACAGGAGCGCACAGCCTGCCAATGCCGCCTTACAACTTACCCAAGGTTCTTCTCTTTACTAACACTCAGATACAAATAGTTCTGCAAGGTTGCCTAAATACTCTGTTTACTTAAAAGATTTTTATTGTCTGTGATTAGGAACAATGAACTAGGCTTGGCGCCTGTGGCTCAAGCGGCTAAGGCGCCAGCCACATACACCTAAGGTGGCGGATTCGAATCCCCAGCCCGGGCCCACCAAACAACAATGATGGC